ACTGAGCATATGGATGCATATATTTGTTGACTAATAACTAGAAATAAAGGGTCAAACCTAGCTACATTACAATTAGACAAAGGGAATTTGGGGTTTTCCTCCAAAACTCCCTACTCCCATGCTCCATGCATTGTATTGTAGTTTAAATAAATTACCAAAGTAAGTGAAACTGGCATGGTTATATAGCGTTATTTTTACAAAATACGAGGAATTTTAAAATATTCTGCACAGAATTTTTAATTTTTTAGTGCAGAATTCACCCAGGAATGTACTACCAAAGTCATGAACATACTGTGTTAAGAGATATTGCAGATTTCAACTTCTTCCCTTCCCTGATTTTGAATAATGGGAATCTGAACCTAAGGAACTGTTTGGTATTTACAGGCTGATACTAAGCTTGTACTTGTTATAAATTATACTTATTAAGTATATACTTATTATGCTTATACTTGTTACAAAATCATCAATCTGGGCTTCAAGTTTAAAAAAGAATCAACCTGTAGAAACATTTGATCTAATTGGAGGCACTGACATGAATAAACATGAGGACATGTTCCATGGCATCAGCATTACAAATAAATTTAATTTGCATTAAGAACACTGTTATAACAAAGGTATAAAAATACATATATACTGGCTCTCAAAACAATGACCAGTAAGTACATCGTTATTCTCCTGACAACCCATAATGGGAGATTTCAAAAAGGACTTGGGTTGTGGTTTACTTTTCTCTGGGCTTCAGCAAATAGCCTGAAAAGTTACACACTTCGTGGAAAAGTGAAATTTAAACTTCCTTGTAAAAAAAGTTAAGCAGACTGCAGTAAGGAAGCCTTAGAGCAAAATCCTGATTGGTGCAATGTGGGTATGCTAGTGAGTAAGAACCACTTAGGGAGGCTTTTCCCATCCACCCCTCCCCACAGCAGCAGGGCATTTCAACCTCATGCTGGGAATGACGACTAGGTACCACACCACAATGTTGCCACTACTGGCGAGCACGCTGATGCTTTTCAAAGGAGAAGCAACATGCATGTCACTGTACAGCATGACTGGCTGCCCTGAACCATCTTGCCCAACAACAAGACAGTGTATCCAATATTTCTGTAACACTTGTACTCTCCAGAGTAAGTCTTTATCAGAGAGGCCAAGATTTTGCCCTTAATACTTCTTTGGGGGATTTAAGCTGTAGATTAAAATAACAGTTTTACCTATTTGTTATTTTACAGTAAATGTTCATCTTAAAATTTAGAACACTAGTAATCTGCTGTCTTTCTTTTATTAAGATCCCACTCTGACCTAGGAACATTTCCTTATGATAAAACACTTCAGCTTCTTTTGCCTGAGTATTTTCATTCATGATTTCTGTTTTTACTGTGGACATTGTTCTTCAATCTTGAGTAAAATGTTTAGTAGCTTTGTGGGGGGGGGGGGGGAAGGGGAGGGGAACAACGGCAATAGACTATGTGCAGTACTAAATTTGGGGGCTATTTGGCTGACATAACAAAAAGTTCCTCTATGGAAAGTGAGCTAATACTTAAAAAGGAAAAGTGTAACACTAAGGTCTTTGAGAATAAAAAAAGTATAAGGGCTTCCATTTTACAGCATCACTAATTTCACAATATCGTATCTATGAGGACAAAATTTTCATAGTCATAAGTTTACTTTTAAAAATATTAAACCTAAGACATCAATTAGCAATGGTGAATTCTGCACCCATAGGTGGCTGACAAAGAGAGATAGCTGTTTGGATGAGATTAGCTGGGATTTTCTGTATACAATAACCATACTATATACTCAGAATTTGAGCATTGTGGGTTAGACAGCTAACATGTATCCTCATGGCAAAATGCTTGCTTCTAGGTAAGTTTGACTTTACAATTAGGGCATAAGTGGCTCCCTGTTCACAAGTTTGCCGTCTCCTTTGAATAAAGAATAGATGTTATGTAACACTGGGTTTGATCAATGAATCTTCTAAGGCAGCTCTTCTTCCATATAATGCTGGTTGTTCTCTCTCACGGATACCACATGCCCTTTTCCTTTGTTGTACCGGTTGATTCTTATGTAAGAAAGAGGTTTAAAAAAAAAAGGATCCAGAATTTGTGGTTGCAAACAACTGCAAACTTTTAGGCAGCTGGGAAATTCTGAAGACCTCTACAATTACTAAAATATCTACATGATGATAGCACAGCCCAAAAGGCATTCCAAGGTGCCCTGCAAAGTGAAAAATACTGGTTTATGACCTTTTCTCCTTTCCTATGATGTATAAAAAACATTTGTAAGCTTAAAAAGAGTTCCTATTAGGAACGTCATGGCTGGTCTTCCCTACTTTTTGATGAGAACTCAGAGGTCTCAAGCCTGATTTAGACACAGATTTCTACCGATTTAACTAAAAAGATGTTATTTTAAACCAATTTAGTTAAACTGATGCAAGTTCATGGTTTGCTATTCTTATTTCAGTTTAGTTTAATCTTGTTAAAAATAAACAGATCAAGTTAAACTGAAATAAGCCACTCAAATTCAGTTAACACACAAGCTTCAATTTAGGTAAACTAGTGGGTTTAAAAATCACACTCTTTAGTCAAGTCCTCAGGATCACAAGCCACATCTTCTTAACTGAATGGTAAAGATTCAACAGTCCTGTTCAAAGACATCTATCTCCCAGTTCTTTTTCTCAGAAAGAGATAATTCATGAAGAAGGCCACACAACATTTTAAGCAGCCTGCTTAAACTAAAAACTGCTTTCCCTCAGTCAGGTTTCACTTGCTTTATATTTCTGAAACCTATTGGTTTTCTGCAGCTGTCCATATAATCCTCCAAAAGAAACTAAGAAAACTTTATTTTTGTAATGTAAGAAAGGAGAACTCCTGCCAAAGTACATACCCAATAAGCCTTGTGTTTACATAATAAAGATGCAACAACTAAAAAAAAAGAGCACAAACCTACTTTTTCTTTGCAGGTTACTACTGAGAATGGCAGACAGGTACACGAGGGTAAAAGATAACTACAAATGACTTAAGATGAAGCACAAGACAGGTTATTCATTTGCTCATGAAGGTACCATTCAGCGAAAGGTCAACAGATGTGTTTTATACCATACTCATCACTATAGTAATGTCCTTTTTTTCCCCTTCTTCTTTGTCCACTTCCCCCATGTCAGAAAGATTTTCTGACTTACATAGGTTTTGTACAAGAAGTCCTTTGGATTACGCAGAATCTAAGTCAACGAAAGTCACTGAAGGGAGAATATCTTCCACCCATAGCAAACCCGAAACCTGCAGAACCACAGAGTTGGATGCAACATTCAAGAGGCAATGGCTAGAAATGGTAATCAGAACAAAGATAGAAAGATAATCAAGCTGTTTCTTGATGTATCAATGTCAGTTCTCCAGGTGTATCAGTTTGATCAGTGTTATTTCTGAAGAGCAAGACATCTGACACTTGTTGTTAGCTCTATAAAGCCCAACCATATTAATAATTGTCTTATATAAGACACACACGTCTTTTATATAAAAAAGTCTTATATAATCACTTACTTTTCAGTTAGGAGCAGTGACAACAAATCTATGGGGATGGAAATTCTATTCATGAATAGAAATGCAGGTCTTCTCATGGATTAAGTATCCTTCAGAATCTAAATTTCATTGCTACTCTTCAGGTTGCAATGACAAGCTTCTTAAATAGATTGATACAACTTCGCAAGCTGAGTTTGCAGTCAGAATGAAACAACACTACTAAGAGATTTCCCCCCCCCTAAATGGAGCATTAATAGGGCCCTACCAAATTCACGGCCATGAAAAATGCATCACAGATCATGAAATCTGGTCTTTTGTGTGCTTATACCCTATACTATACATATTTCACAGGGGAGACCAGCATTTCTCAAATTGGGGGTCTGGACCCAAAAGGGAGTTGCGGGGCGGCACAAGGTTATTTTAGGGGGGTTGTGGTATTGCCACCTTTACTTCTGCGCTGCCTTCAGATCTGGGCAGCATCTGTTAGCCAGACACCCAACTCTGAAGGCAGTGCACTGCCAGCAGCAGCAGCAGCACAGAAGTAAGGGTGGGAATACCATACCATGCCATCCCTACTTTTGCTCTACTGCTGTCAGCAGCTCTGCCTTCAGCGCTAGGCTCCTGGCCAGCAGCCACCAGTCTCCAGCTGCCCAGCTCTGAAGGCAGTGCCACTGCCAGCAGCAGCGCAGAAGGGTAGCAGTACTGCAACCCCCCTACAATAACCTTGAAACCCCCACACAACTCCTTCATGAGTCAGGACCCCTACAATTACAATATCATGACATTTCAGATTTAAATAACTAAAATCATGAAATTTTCAATTTTTAAAATCCTATGACCCTGAAATTGACCAAAATGGACCCTGAATTTGGTAGGGCCCTAAGCATTAATCTTGGAAATCTAATTGTAAGCACTTAAAGGCTACCTTATTCTTTCCATTGCTAATCATATATAAAACACACCCAGAAAATGGGACTGTCCAGTATTGCTGGCCTTATCTATCAATCATCTGAAAGGGCCTCTCTCATAGGAATGTTTCAAGTTTTGAATTTATGAAGTCAAATATTCTTTAGGCCATTCAGATAGTGGATGCCATTGTCACTTATTAAAAATTAGGGTACAAGTGAAGTTTACAGCACTGTTAACTATAAAGTACTCTACTCCTACTGTAACTGGCAGGATCTTAAGAGGTTTTTCGGGATATTTAAGAGGGCGTGTGCGCGCAGCGGGGGATGCAGGTGAGAGGTGGCGGTATATAAACCTTATTAAGGTAACAGCAAATGAGCTAAAATATTTTTGAATACTTTCAAAGCCATTTGATGGAGAGAGAGGAATTGATAACTCTCTCAGATCCTTAATTTTCAGTATTCTTTGATGCTTTGTTTTCCCATATTACAGATTTACAACATTTAAATAAAACATTTTCTAACAGTCTTTCCATTTCTGTTTACTATATTCCAAGCTTTACACAAATAATTCAAAGAAACCCAAAAGCGTTACCCATATTTTCTATGTATGGCTAATATTACTTTGTCATACTAAACACAGATATCTTTCTGCAGTGCACTTTTTTTTTAAAAGTAAAATTAAGATTAAAAATTAATTCCCAATCCCACATTTCTGATTACAGTATACACAAAGCAAATGAAAAAAAAAATTGTCATTCTAATTTGTTCTCAAAGTACTCAACTTAGGATCTGTTATTCAAACTAAACAAAACTTGTCAAATTAATACTTTACTCCTCTTTACTATACATTTTAAAATTAATGTACAGAAAATACATTTCTGAGACTAAAAGATGTTCAATATTTCAACATCAACAGGATAATCTCACATTAGACTAACAAACGATGATCACAGAGAGCAGGAAAGATAAGAGTAACAACTTCTGGGTGAATCTCTTTCAACAAAATTGCAAAGGTTCTTTATTAAAGTTAAGTACCTTTGTAGAGGCACCAAAAATGAATAGCCCTTTCAGCTGAACTTTCAAAAAAATTTAATTTTCATTCAAAAAGAGATCTTGAACTTATTAGGTACATACATGTCGCTGTCCCACTGCCCTGTAACATACATTCAGCAACTTAAAGATTCAATATTTATTTTTATAGACTCCATATATATTATATATTTAATATATAATATATATTTATATACATATATATACTTACAGATACATACATACTCAGCAGGATTATAGTTACTCTTTTTAAACACTTTGATCAGTGTTGATAATCTATTCCAATTATTTTGTGAATTGAATGGAATTTGTCCATTACCTGGAAAAATGAAAATTTAAAAGACCCAAATGGAATTTGTGGATCAATAGTAGCACCAATACTGTACTTGCGAGGGTTTGTATGGCCATTCATTACTTTAAAATGACTGCAGGGATTGAGACAATATATATTTTTAGAATATTCTTCTTACAGCATGAGCATTCCTGCACTACTTAGGCAGCAATACTTGCGGAGTCCATGCATTTGTTCCTACCCTAAACTCAAATATTACATAGCCTTCTTTACTGTAATATACAGTATTTCTTCTGCCCTGTTGGATTTTTTTGCTTTTCACACAGAAAAGTGATCAATATCGTTCCAACAGAAATTATTTTCTCTTCCCATTGTATGGCTCAGTTTCAAGATTGTTTAACTAGGCAGCCACCATTAGTGTTACCTGTACCTCAATACCACTAAGAGTCATCAGTCAACGACTGAAGTAATATACAAAAGTTTTGAGGGCAGCTTAGTGTTAATGGAAAGCCAGGTACTCACAGGCACTACCCTTTTAACTAGCCCTCCAATATCAGCCACATAGAAAGGTTAGTCACAGTTCCAATACCATAATTCAGCAGTTAGTTACCTACCATTCGGTAACAAAAGTTAAACCCACTTGTGATTTTAAACAACAATATTCACCCTGAGAATACAGAGGAAGCATTTAAGAATAAAATCTGATATGTGTTTTTTCTTCACGTATGCATTCTTCCATTTTTTTCTTCAGCCCCTCTGGGGGTACATGGGTTTGAATCGAGAAGTTAACTTCAGATATTTCCTTTGTGAGCTGATTATTCATGCCACAGTCAGATACTGGTGATAGAAAAGCCCAAAAAGGCTTGTGAAGAAGAGGCAAGCAGCAATCCACCAGGTGAGAAAAGACAGGAGTCCTCGGAACAGGAGAGGAGTGAAAATGTTCTTTAGGCTGCCCAATGCCATTGTTATTTGTACTACAGTTACCTTCATCTTTCCATCAGCAGGTGGAGACTCAGAATAAACTGAATTGGGAAGTGGACTATTCTCCATTGGAAAGTCAGAGCTAGATTCTGGATAGATGCCCCAGGAATAATTACCTGTTAAAAATAAGATGATAAATGAAGCAACTAGATTCCAACTCCTTTTACTTCGGTCAAGTCTATAAATATAGCAGCAGTACCCTAGACATATTAGAAATAGAAAATTCTTTCTAAATAACTTTCTAAATATAAAATTGCAACATGCTTGATGTCAACTCCCTAATTTCACTACAGTAGATCTGGTAAGACAGTGTAAGACATATCCTTCATGATGGTCTGGTGTTGCTCTATTCTTTTATTAATACTAGAAGAAAATCCATGCCTCATTTACAAATAATGGTCAAGAAGTCCATGCAGTTTTAAGGATAAGACTTGCATTAATTTTAGAAAATTTCATTAACAGATTTCCATAAAATGATACATGTAAAAAGCATCATTGATAGTTTTTTACATTTTATAAACAAACAAAAAGATCCATGTTTCAATATACATAAAACATCTCAATTTGTTTGTTATACTAAATAGTTTGCCTGTTGGAATATCAATCACAAATAGGAATTAACATCTGGTTAACAGGTGTCTTAAAATCAGAAAGAAGACAGAATAGTCTTAAAGCTACTGCTTTAAATGACAAGAAAACATCTCTGTATCTTATTGGTTACACATGCTTTCTTTTAATGGACAGATATAAAATGATAAAAGCCTTTCATAATAGGATCAGAAATGTTTTTAGTAAACATATGCACTGTTTTCCTTTATCAAATTTTGCTTACCTAGTGTTTTCAAAAGCAGAGTTGTATGAAGCAGCATTACCAGAGGTGCCACATACTGCAATGCAATTACACAAAGGTAATAAAATACTCGGGCCACCTGAAACCAACAAAATCCTTATGAGTGACTTCGTGTGCAAGAAGATCTCAACACAGCTGACATGTTATGAATGATCATAGCAAACATTTAAATACAACTGTCAGTAAAACGGAGCAGCTTAAAGAAATGTGATCCTTACAAGAGAAGCTACATTCTAAAGGTTTTCCCCACCAGATTTTTAGTGTCTAAAGTACTGTCTTCAAAAAGACTTATGATGAATTTCAGACTTAATAAAAGTTTCATAATACTTAAAGAGCTCATTACTCTACTAGTTATTTCCTTACAAAAGGCAGAGTTAAAAAAAACCATTCATCTCACTTTTTCTAAAAAAATCTTATCATTCAATGATCTGCATTTCTATACACTAGAAGTTTGTTAAAAAGTAGTCTGAAAGTTAATGTACTTTGGATAAAAATTTTCAAAAGTACTGGAGTGACTCAGAACCTAAGTCTCATTTTCAAAAGTGACTTAGGCAAATGCCACTGTCTTTCAATAAGACTTTGGCTCCTAAAGGTCTAAGTCAGGGGTGGGCAAACTTTATGGCCTGAGGGCCACATCTGGGTATGGAAATTGAATGGCGGGCCATGAATGCCCGGTGGAGGAGTAATATGGGGGGGCTCTATAAGGGATGTTACCGAAGTGGGGGGGCACTCATGGGGTGTGGTGTGTGGGGGAGGGGGCTCTAATGGGGTGGCACTGGGGACTCCTAGGGGCCCGGCCGGCAGTGACACCAAGGCAGCCGTACCAGGCACTGCCACAGGCAGAGGCATCCTAGCTGGGAGGAGTGTGGCCCCTGGGTGGTTTTGAGGCTCTTAAGGGTGGGGCCATGACCAGGAAGGGATCAGGCGTGCTGCCGTGTAGGGGCAGGGTGAAGACGTGCCTGCGCAGTGTGGCGCTGCATGCCGGAGGATGGTGCTCATTAAGGGAATTGAGAGTCGGGGACTGGAGAGCACCAGGCAGGCGGAGCGGGGCAAGCCCCTGACCCCACTCCCTGGCGGGAGCTCAAGAGCTCAATAAAAACGTCTGATGGGCCAGAAGCGGCCTGTGGGCCGTAGTTTGCCCACCCTTGGTCTAAGTCCCTTTTGGAAAATGGGATTTAGGTGCTTTTGTTTAACAATGCAAGATATTAGTAAATGAAAATGGTCAGAAAAATGAGAAATACAAATAGAATCTCCATGGTTAATTTAAATGGTTAACAAAATTCACTTAAAGAATCTTCACTTCAGATTTAGATTATATTTTATTGGACTCCACTTTTAAATTATTTTATTTCTTCACAAGGAGTAGGTCCTCCTCTCCTAATCACTAACCTTACATTACATATTTATATACAACTGTTGCCCCAAAGGGCTCAGAGGGTAAATAAGAGGAAAAGTCAAAAAACAAAATCAGCAATGAAAAAGTCAACTATACATCTTAAGTGAGAACAAAATATTGGCCTTGCCTAGAGGATGAAAAGGCATGGAATTCTTTAAAATAGTATTAAAAAGAGGGAAGGGTTTTGAGATGAAAACGTCTCAAAAAGATAGTTTGGGGAAGAGAGTTCCAAAACACTGGGTACTGAAGAGGAAGTATGACAACCATGGAACCAAAGCATAAGAAGATGACTGTTCCCCCTTTGATAGAATATTATCAAACAGAAAAGTAGCAACCAATAAAGGAAAAAGGATTGGAAGGATCATTTCCTGGTTACAGCAAAAGAAGACCAAAAAGAGTGAAGGTGATACATAAACAGTAAGATGAAAACTAAAATTTATTTTGTTCAGTGGCTTTGGACTGACTGAAAAGGAGGATTTTAGAAGACTGAAGTAGAGGGCAATGTATGGAACAGGCTTTTGCTATATGAAAATTACAAAACTTGTAGTTAACTGAGATATTTAGAAGATGTTGCATTTTCCAGATAACATGAGAAATATGGGTGCAGAAAGATTCTTATTAAAGAGAACTCGAGGTTCCTAGCAGCAACAACTGGACTGATTCTGGTATTGATGACCGTGAGAAGAGCCCTGTGAATAAATCCGCCTTAATCCTGAAGCCCTACACTAGTCACCATGCTTCTGAGTAAAAAATATGGGCTAGAAATCCCCTTCGAAGCCCCTTTACGGCCATTGCTTAATATTTTGCTGGTGACACAGATACTACACTAATGGTCATAGTGATAAGTACTATTATTAAAAAACCTAAAATAGACAAGGGCATTTTTGTGCTATATGACACTTTCCATACCACATCTCCCATGGGACTGACTAACCTGTTGCACTCAGTACTTCTCTGCAAAATGAGCCTATCCCTCCCAAATAGTTGCATAGTGGCCTTACAAATTTCTATCCATCCATTTGGTCACAGTAATTTGACTGCTAAAAGAAATAATTATTCAGTGTTATCATGGTAACAAGATGGACAAGTACTTGTACATCCAGGCTAGTATATTTTTGTGACACTTGTACAAAATTGCCCTTTCATTCAGCTCTTTACATTAAAAAAAAAAATTCTTCCATTTTATACTATATATTTGTATATAGTTCCTTTCACAGTTCAAGGATCTACGCACATTTAGCATACTATACAGCCATACAACCTTACCTTTGCCTCTGTGGAAGTGGGAATATAACACCACCCTTGCTTCTCCTAACAAAGCCACCCATTTCCTCTGTGCCCACCATAAGTCCAAATCACCACTCATTCATACACTCCACAGACCTTTGCAGAAGTCTGTGTCGCACCATTCATCTGGGAAATACAGTAGCCGATTGCCAGAGATTATGCTGGACAAAAAGGTTGAGATAGGTACAGTGCCTGTAGGGACTCCTTAGGACATGGAGCAAAGGAAGCAGAGTTTAGCTGTGTGGCTGTGGTGTGTGGAAAATATCAGTTCAACTCTGCATTTCCTGGATTTGAGGGGTTTTCCCCTTGCAATGGGAGCCTT